TAAAATCACCTTAAAGTGTTCTTTTGATGTGTGTAAGACCTTAACGCACACACACACATACACATACACACACACACACACGAATGAGGGAATTAAAGATACAGAAACAAATTCAATAAAAAAAGAATAACAGAGGAGAGAATAAGTGAAAGAGAATGACCATCAGTAACATGAAGGTCACGTCAGGTTAGGTTAGGTCAGGTGAATCATGCAAGGTGAAGATTAGACTTGATTTAAAAAAGTTTTCCTACTCGAGTATCATGTGAGGTGTGAGGAGGTCATGTGAGGTGTGAGGAGGTCATGTGAGGTGTTAGGAGGTCATGTGAGGTGTGAGGAGGTCATGTGAGGTGTGGGAGGTCATGTGAGGTGTGAGGAGGTCATGTGAGGTGTTAGGAGGTCATGAGAGGTGTTTGGAGGTCATGTGAAGTGTTAGGAGGTCATGTGAGGTGTGAGGAGGTCATGTGAGGTGTTAGGAGGTCATGTGAGGTGTTAGGAGGTCATGTGAGGTGTTAGGAGGTCATGTAAAGTGTTAGGAGGTTATGTGAGGTGGTCATGTGAGGTGTTAGGAGGTCATATGAGGCGTGAGGAGGTCATGTGAGGTGTGAATGTCCCTACCCAGCAAACATCAATCACTTAATACGACAAAACAGCAAAATTATTTACATTGGATCAACATTCTCAAAGGTACAGGTAAGTCCAGGTATTTTCCCTCTAATTAACCTTTTAAACACACACACTTAAACGCTGTAATTCATCTCAAGACATAAAAATGATCTATACAAAGCTGGAAATGAAATAATTCTTAATACGAGAATCTGTTTTTATCCAACGTGGTAATAAAAACGGTAAATTTAAGAACTGCGGAGAATTCAGGGTTAAATTCCTTACAAGAAAAATGGATAATGATTCCCCCATGACAGTGAGGAAGGTAAATATTACATATAAGTTAAGAAAGAGGTATTTTATAACTAAGTGTCCCCTGAATACAATATCTCCAGCGACCTGTAAGTTAAGACATGAATATTCTTATACTGAATTTTTATTATATACTTTCAACCACATCTATGAAATGACTTATTTTTTCAAGGTTGATGATATATTTAACATAATACATACATAATATAATGTTTTTTTTTTTAAGCTTTATATATGTAATTTACGTAATAATGTTAAAACCGATTCCTATAAGAGAAAATCTCACATAAACTTCTCTTACCGTGATAATGGGTGCATCTCTCTCTCTCTCTCTCTCTCTCTCTCTCTCTGGTAATGCACTACAGAGTCGTCGTCGTGTTTTGCATTTTGCGTCAACATATCATTGAATATCATGCAACTTTTTCACGTGTGTTATATATTTATGTGAGGCTCCGGGGAAATTCTTATCTAGTGACAGTAAAATACTCACAATTCCCTTGACTAAAAGTCCTAAATCTCCTTCGTGTTTAATAGTACAAAAATAAAATAGTTCCCCACAATAAAATTCATGAAGGAATAAATAAGAGAGAGAGAGAGAGAGAGAGAGAGGAAAAAACAAAACAAAATCACAATAAAAAGTAAAAAAATAAAAATAACATAAAGAAAGAAAGAAAGAAAGAAAGAAAGAAAAGAAAACACACAATTATAATCATCATCAGAATTCACAGCTGAGATTAGAACACTTCTATGTAGATTTAATGCATTGAAACTGCTTGAATCTGCATTAACCCAGAGAGCCAAGTTGTCTTAACGCGGCTCCTTGTTATTCTAATGTAGCAAATCTTCGCTAAAACTTCTTGCTATGCGAAATTAAACTGGAACGCTAAAAAATATGGGTTTCGAGGTTATCCAAATATTTTCTTTCCTACACATGAGGAGGTCGAGTGTATTAGGGGTAAATGGTCTGTTTTGGGTAGCTGGTTAAATTGTGGGGGGTTAAATTGTGGGGGTAAATTGTGGGGGTAAATTGTGGGGTGGTGGTTAAATTGTGGGGGATAAATTGTGGGGGTGGTGGTTAAATTGTCGGAGTGGTTAAATTGTGGGGTAAATTGTGGTTAAATTGTTAAATTGTGGGGGTGGTTAAATTGTGGGGGGTGGTTAAATTGTGTGGGGGGTGGTTAAATTGTGTGGGGGTGGTTAAATTGTGGGGGGTTGGTTAAATTATGGGGGTTGGTTAAATTGCGTGGGGGTGATGGTTGGTTATATTGAGGTTCATGTTATAATAGGTTCGAATTATAGTAAGTCACTGTTATGTTAGGTCCCAGTCATAATAGGTCCTTAATGGGTGTTAGTTCATCCACTCGAAGCCATATACCTCCTATAAACATTCCCTGACTTAAATATTCACTAATGAACTTAAAATATATTATGTGTATCTCTATAAATGTCTATATAAACATTTCAAAAGGGATAAAATACGTATTAGTATTCATTAGATAATAAAAAAATACGGTTTAATATATATTAGTTAGGATGAAAAGCTTTGTTTCTGTAAATGTCATTCTAAATCTCTGTCCTTCTTTTTATATATTTTTTGCATTAAGTCATCAATAATATACAAAAATAAACTCCTAAACAAAATGCAAAAAACAAAATTCAAAAAATAAAATCCAAAGATAAAATCCCAAAGGCAAAAATAAAATGCAAAAATGAAAGATAAAAAAGAAGAAAAGTTTTAAAGACTAAGAGGTAAAAGTCGGTGATGTTTATCGTTCTTTCATCACGTTGTCTTCTTTGTCAAGTTGTCCTCTTGACGGAACATAAACTGGGTCAAGTTGAACGCCTGTGAACAAGCGGCTCGTTCATTGACAGAGATAGAGAGAGAGAGAGAGCGTTGGGTCTCTCTTTTTCGGGATGACAGAGATTAAGAGGTTATATTGTCCACCTTACTAGTGTTGACAGACAGACAGACAGACAGACAGACAGAGAGACAGACAGACAGACAGACAGACAGACAGACAGACAAACCAAAACACACACAACATAAATATTTAAAAAATCAAACCACTACTTCCCTGACGAGACTCATAACGCCATGTACACACACACACACACACACACACACACACACACACACACACACAAGAATACCCAAGACGTGTAACATAATACACACACAAGCGTCCGGCAACAACTCTCTCTCCTTATAAAAGAAAGAAAAAAAAATCTAAAAAAAAAAATGGTCTACAAATAATAAATAAAACATTAAGTAGGAAGAATGAAAAGCTTCGAGCGACGGATTCTGATGGCTCGAAATTAGTCTCGGTAAACTGACATAAATATTAAAACTCTTTCTCGGAATTTCCTTTAATTGGATTCCCGTTTTCTTTAATAAACTCCAAGGGGTAACTTATAATTCACGTCAAGAAGGAGGAGGAGGAGGAGGCGATAGGAGAGAGAGAGAGAGAGAGAGAGAAGGGATATGAGAAAGAGAAAGGGGGAAGAGGAAGGGAAGGAGGAAGTGGGAGGGGTAATAAGAAGAGGAAGGGAAGGAGGAAGAGGGAAGGATAAGATGAAGAGGGAGGGATAAGTAGAAGAAGGAGGGATAAGAGGAAGGGGAAAGGATGAAGAGAGAGAGGAAGGGGAAAGGATGAAGGGGAAGGGAAAGGAGGAACAGGAAGGGAAAAGATCCATTCCACCATTTAAGTACTGTAACCATTATGATATCTCTGCACCTGTACTTATACCTGTATTTGCCCTTAATTAGTTGAGAAAAGTAATCACAATAGTATCCCATTACCTGTACACCGTTCCCTTAATTACTCCCTATAAAAATGATATGAAATAAAGATGTAAAATGGTGAACATATTGAGCGAATTGTTGCATAAGCGAGTGGAAACAATTACAGTAATCCTCTTAGTTGATATATTGCAAAATTGAGTCATTTAATGTAATGTTCAGAGAGAGGATTTCGTCAAGAGCTTTGTGTTTCCCCATTTTGTATATGTCGCAACTCTCAACCAGGCGAAACAAAACAAGAGCAAAATAAAAACAAAACAAGAGCAAAAAATAAGTAAATAAGGATAATAAAATAAAAATAAAGAAAAATAATACAGAAATTATAATCAAATCATAAAAAATCGAACAAAAGACAAAAGATGAAAATAAAAACTGAATAAATAATAATATTTCTCTGACAATATGAACGAAAGTCTTCTAATCATAACAATAATGACAACAGCATCAACCAGAATTATCCCCATCTATACCAACACGATCGATTAATTATCCATACACTGAGTCACAAAACCCCCAAGACGTAACGACACAAAAACATAGATTCTGGATCGTCGCGAAAAAACACACACACAAAAGCACACAATCTAAACGACGCTTGTTAGCTTGTACTTTTAAGGAACATTTTTTCACTCACTGTAAACCTGTAGACGTCTAAGCATTATAGCCACTAACATATACACCACACAAGGACACTGGCTTTGAGATTCATCCATAAACGATGCTCCAATTTAGATTATATATTACTGTAAAATAAATGAGGAAAATAAAATACGAATTATTAAAAAAATATATATATCTGAGGTGATTCATATATAATTCCTCTTAAGTCAGATACAGTTAGGTTGGTCGTCTCATTGGTTAGGTTTGGGTGACTCGACCATCGCTTGGGTGCCTGTGAAGTGACCGAAACGCAGAGAAAGACGTAAGTGAACGATAAAAGAGAATAATAATGAAAGTCAGTGGAATTACGTTCTTTGGGGATATACAAATTAATTGTATAAAATATCAAGTCTTAATTATAGAAGAAACTACTCAAATTGATCTAATATTTACGAGACAAAACAATTATTGAAGGTAATGTATATATATATATGTGAGTATCAAATAGCAGTCTAAGCTCTGGTAAATTAAGCTGGAATAAGCTGATTATAGACCTCAGCTTGAGAGAGAGAGAGAAAGATAGAGAGAATCATACAACACACGACTTATCTAATACAAATCACGTATAATCAATAAATCATTTACAAGAATTATACATAGTCCTTCCTTCACACCTGTAATTTACCTGTCCTCGTCTTTGTTACCCATCGTCCTCAAAATACGCGAACTTCCATAAAATTAACCAATTCTTCCGTGAACGCTAAACCACCCAACTCAGTAACAAAGCTTATTTGCTCTAATCTAATTAAGGTTAAAACAAATTTCTTTATAAGTTAAACAAAAATGACAAAACAGCTGAACGAATGTCATTATGTTTCGTTTATCTTTATCACTAATGTTGTTCGTACCATTTTTCTCTCCCTCTTTCCTTGTTATATCTTCATTATGTTGTGTATTTTGTCATTCTCGTGCTTACTCTCTCTCTCTCTCTCTTGTCTCTCTCAAACACCAAGGTCAAAGGTTAACGAGTTCTTTATCATCTTTCTCTCTCTCTCCCTCGTCTCCTTTTTTTTTCTCCTTGGGATTTTGTCTTTCATTCTTGTAAGTTTCTTTCTTCTCTTGTTTATCTTCTTTTCTTTCATTTGTGAGTTTGTTTTCTCTTACAACATTCTTTTATTCTCATGTTCTTACCTTTCTTTTAAGTGGTAAAATGTGGTAAGCATCACCATCATTCTTCTTCTTCTTCCTCATCATCCTCCTCCCCCTCCTTCTCCTTCTCTCTTCTTCCTCCATCTCCATCTCCTCCTACTCCTCTTCTCCTTCCCCCGCCGCCATCTTTGTTCTCCGTACCTGGGGCAGAAAACAACGGAGCTTGGTCGAGTGCTTTTGTTAAGACTGTTTACAGGAACTAAGATCCCCCCCCCCCCTCCTGGAGGTAGAAGGACTCGGTTCTCATTTCTGGTGAGGATTGAGAAGGGATGAGGTAAGGATAGGGTTGGGGGTGTAAGGGAAGGATTGAGGTATCAGGGAAGGGAAGGGTTGGTGTAAGGGAAGGATTAGGGTGTAAGATACGAGACCCAAACAATATCATTCTCCCATCCAACAATAACTCTTGATACGTCGTGGAAATTCAGGATAGTCGCCAACTCCTGTGAGCACAAGGCTATAATTGGTCCAGGAGGAGAGTGGTGGAATAAACGGAGCCGCTGTCATATAAGCTCCGATAATGTGGAGGCGGTTGGGAGGTGCTGGGGACAGTCTGGATCAGTTGAGGTGGTCGTTAAAGATCGTTGAGGAAGACCGCGAGATCCTGGAATGGCCTGGAGTCGTCAGAAGGGTCGTTTGGGTGGGTTTCAAGACCCTTCCTTAAAGCTGCCTGAGGTCGTGGGACGAGGCTGTCGAGAGAAGGCCACGAGAACCAGCATTGTCTCTCAGTCGTCGGAATGGTCGTTGAGACGCTTGACGACAACATGACCCAACTCTGCTAGATCTTCCTCTAAGGTCGTCGAAAGGATTACCAAGATACACACGAACTGTTCACGTGTTGTTGTGCTAAACTTGACTTGTCGTAAGTATCGATGAGGTACCCATAAGCCCTCAAAGGTACCCATGATCTACCCACGACTCCTGAAAGCTACCCATGAACTACCCACCACCACCCAGTAAACCAACACTGAAATAAATTGTAGAACCTTAAATCTCTCCATAATGTAACCTTTATGAAACACGCGTACCAAAGACACATAAGCACTCCTTACGTAAACTGGATACTGTACGCCAGAATAAAACCCTGAAATAAACGTATATTACCGTACGTTGTGAACCTTGCCCTAGGCAGCCATAAGCCCGGACACTAATTATTAATACCATTAAATCTTACGTATAGAAGACAGACATACAAGACCTCCTACATTCACGTCGTCAAATAATCGCTAGTAAAGTTAAAAGGCAGGAGAACGATCGTCTGGCGTAACATCATAATCTTAACATTTCGGGATGGAGGGAAACGCCAGACGCTGTTAATTGCTCAAGGTGGTGTTGTTTTTATGGTCAGGATCATTGAAGTATGAGATGTCACACGTGAGGGGAAGGTTGAGAGATGAGGGAGTGTGAGAAGCTCGAGATACAAGCCCCATTAATACTACTTGGTAACTCGATACACTTGATGCCACCAGTCACCTGCTGGTAGAATGTCACCTGTTATTCCTCATACGGTTTCATTAATAACAAAATAATTATACAAATAACAGAAACTTGGTAGTAACTTGGAGTGGGTGGGGAGGGAAGTATATCTGGAGGTACGGGGAGGGAACTTAAGGGGGTAGGAGAGGGAACTTAAGAGGTAGGAAAGGAAATCTAGGAAAGGAAGGAAACGTGGGGGGTAGGGGTTAGGGGAAGGAACCTGTCTTGTCGAGTCGTTTGTAGTCGAGTCGGCAGAAGGGACGGTCTTAATTACGTTTCTTTTACCTGCAGCACAGGTAGGAAGGGCAGGGTCTTAGGGGCCCTCGGAGGCATGACGATCACCCTTATTGGTTTTAGGCATGGGGGATGGGGGAGAGAGGAGGGGTGAGGGAGGGTAAGGGAGAAGGAGTGAGGGTAAAGGAGGGAGGTTAAGGGACGGAGGGTGAAAGAAGGAGGGGCGGGTGGGCGACGTTCAGTGGCACTGTGTGTTGGGTCAAAGGTCAGTTGTGATGATGATCTATGGCTGGTCAAAGTTTAGCAGTTGGCACGACACACACACACACACACACACACACACACACACACACACACACACACACACACACACACACCACCACCAAAAAGCCTCAGAACCTCACACAGAAAAATGGTTTCTTCTGCTGAATAAAATATAAACGTTGACAACTCTTGAAGACCAAGGGCCACAGCCATCAAAGACTATACTAACCATCTGGGTGGTATTCACTAACGACTTACGGTGACGGTCAACCTTAGGGCTGAACGGGTGATTCACTAACGACTTCCGGCGGTCATGACAGATGTTATCGTACACCATAAGATACGGTGACCTCTGAACACCCGTATGCTTCTACAAGGCGGAAATAAGGTCGTACGGACTCTGTATCTTCGGGAGATATGGACAAGGTTACAGTCACCATAACTGCCCTGTTAGTGAGCTCGGGACCTGGAGGTTTTTTCATCCTAAAGAAACGAAGTTTATTTTTTTTTCATTTCCTGACGACACGAGTTTTATTTTTCATTACCCTTAAAATAAAAGGTTTATTTTTATTAAACTTTCCATACAATTTTTTTTTCTTTTTCTCACACGACAAAGGTTTATTTGTTGGTCTAGCCTAAGAAACGAGGAGTATTTTTTTCACCATCTTAAGAAACGAATTTAAAATGTCTATTTTTTGTTGGTCTGTATAAGTAATATACGGAAGCCGTCCAGTTGATGAGAGGAGGAGGAGGAGGAGGAGGAGGAGGAGGAGAGAGACAGACCTGACAAAAGAATACTTGCACTCATAATGAACTTGAAAAAAAAAATATGCCACTTGAATTAAAATGAAATAAATTCCTAACTAAAGCAATAAAAAAAACAATTTAACAGAAACAAACTTACTCGGGGTTAAGATTCAACAATAAATTAACTTAATATAAAACAAAATTAATATAAGTGCAAAAGAAAATCCCAAAGTATTCTGCATAATTTTACATTTGAGTTCAAGTTATTTTTTTTTTCATTTTTACTCAATATAAAGTCCCCATCAACCCTCACTCTGCGTATAAACATCTTTCCCTCTGACGCATACTCTGAAAAATATATCAGGTAAATAACGTGTTCGCAAAATGAAAAAGAATATTTGTTACTCCCCCTAATGTGGCGTATAACCTTTTGCATTTTACGCTTGACACCAAAACGAAAAAAAAAAACACTTCAAAAACAGAATGAACGTGGTGTTGAAGTGTGGTGAGTGTGGTAGTATGGTGGAGTGTGGTAGAGGTAGTAAAGTATGATACAGTGTGGTAACGGCAGTAAAGTGTGGTATAGTGTGGTAGCGGTAGTAAAGTGTGGTAGAGTGTGGAAGCGGTGATAAAGTGTGATACTGTGTGGTTGCGGCGGTAAAGTGTCGTAGCAGCGGTATATTGAGAAAGAGTGTGGTAGCGGCGGTGGAGTGTGGTAGCGGTAGTAAAGTGTGGTAGCGGCGGTAAAGTGTGGTAGAGTGTGGTAGCGGCAGCAGAGTGTGTGGTAGAGAGTGTTGTAGCAACGATTCATCAAGGGGCTGGCGATACTGTTTACGCGAGACCCAAACAGTAAATTAAATGTTTGTTTCCAGGTTAGAGAGAGAGAGAGAGAGAGAGAGAGAGAGAGAGAGCAGGGTGAAGATAGACGAAAAACTGTAGTAAATATAGGAAATAAGGAAGGAAAGGAAGAAGGAAGGGAGGGAGGGAAGGAGGAAGATAATGTGGGAGGGAATAAAGAATTGAGGAAAGGAGGGAATAAAGAAGGGGAGGAAAGGCGGTAATAAAGAAGGGAGGGAATGAGAAAGGGAGAGAAAAAATTAAAAAGGAAAGAAGCTCACTAGATAAACTCCCTCACTGTAAAGAAAAACAAATAAATACACAAACAAACACAGAACAGAACCCCAGAACAGATCTAAAGTTCCAATTATATTCTAAAAGTTTTAATGAAAAGTTCCGTCAAGTTCACCTAAAAATTCTATTCAGTTATGAAAAAAAATAATTCTCATGTAATTAATATGAGGCGAGGGGTCGAATTACATAAAAGGGATATAATTATTATGCTTTCAGATCAACATATATGATTAAAATGGTAATTACATGACGCTAATATTAAGAGCTTTTCAAATCTGATATCTGGTGTTATTATTCGTGTCGTTGGAGGTCGAATGCTTTAGGTGGTTGTTGGAGGTCAAGTGAGTCAGGTTGTTGTTGGGGGTCGAGTGAGTCAGGTAGTTGTTGGAGGTCAAGTGATTCAGGTGTCTGTCGAATTATAAACGCCTGTAACTTGATAAAGGTCAGAGGTATACTATATATATATACTTGGTACATACGAGTATATAGGCTATAATAAAACCCAAAAGTTGGTATAGCTTTGAGGTAAAAAAGGTCAAATAACAGGTCAAAAGGTCAAACAACAGGTTAAAATATATATAAAAACATTATAAATTGACGAGATTTGGTTAGGTTATTGTATCACTGTCATGGGCGGACGGACAGATGGA